ATATCCAAATTTGATAGAAATATTTTAACAATAAATTCAAATGATTTGTATTAAAATTTTTTAAAATATCTTGATTTATTACTAACTTATTAGGAGTTAAAAAGTGTGAAAATTGGTTCGCGGAGCAAGTCAAAATTTAGTAATTTACGAACAATACACTAATTAATGTCTGTAGTCATATCCTCTGTAAAATGGCTCAAAACCAAAATAAATCTAGACGATAAAATTAAGAATTGTTTCATCGTTTCATATTCCAAATTATGACTTAATAGTTTGCTTCATGGAAAAGAAATCAATTTCTGAAGATAGGTAGTCCCCATTGAAAAAGGCAAAAAAGGTGACGTCGTAGAACGTCACGTAGCAGCAGTTTATGATACAATATTCCGTTGTACTCTGGAAAACGTCAGAATAAAATCTGAAATTGTTGTAGGAAGCAAGAAATGCATGTGTGTTTGGGTCATGCATGTGTGTGTAAATGGCCCAGGCGGTATTTGAATGATAGAGACTCTGTATCAGACGAGGACGATCTGTGAGAAAACGGATTATCTATAAAAGAATCAACCCAAAAAACGTTCATTTAATAAGGTCTTGGAAAGAAAAAGGCGCTTCACGGTTCCTGGTCTTGTGCAAGCATCATTAAGTGGTAAAAAAAAGAAAACATTGACAATCAAAATAATGCTACTGGAACAATTGTTAACAAAATGAATTTCAATTGATAGAGATGCGTTTTAAATGAGCAGATATTGGACCAGACTGTGTGAAATGTATAGGGAGAATATTTTGAGAGCATCATGACGCTATATTTTTGACGTTAAAATGTTGTTCAGTTTGCTCCGGGGTTATCAAACATGTTGATTTTAAAATAAAGTATATTGATTTCTATTAAATCGAATGGAATGAAACTTTACACATCAACAAAATAAATATTTTTACATATGGTAATGTGCTTATATTAAATTTCTTGAAAGGAGTATAACGAGGATTGACATTGTCCACGATCTTTTCGAACAACCCTCGTACTTTATCTGTAACACTACCCCAGTAGACATACTTTATCTGTAACACTTCCCCCAGTAGACATACTTTATCTGTAACACTCCCGAGTAGTGTTATCTGTAACACTCCACAGTAGACATACTTTATCTGTAATACTTCCCCCAGTAGACATACTTTATTTGTAACACTCCCCAGTAGCCATACTTTATCTGTAACACTCCCCAGTAGACATACTTTATCTGTAATACTTCCCCCAGTAGACATACTTTATTTGTAACACTCCCCAGTAAACATACTTTATCTGTAACACTTCCCCCAGTAGACATACTTTATCTGTAACACCTCCCCCATTAGACATACTTTATCTGTAACACTTCCTCCAGTAGACATACTTTATCTGTAACACTTCCCCCAGTAGCAATACTTTATCTGTAACACTACCCCAGTAGACATACTTTATCTGTAACACTTCCCCCAGTAGACATACTTTATCTGTAATACTACACAGTAGACATACTTTATCTGTAACACTTCCCCCAGTAGACATACTTTATCTGTAATACTACACAGTAGACATACTTTATCTGTAACACCTCCCCCATTAGACATACTTTATCTGTAACACTCCCCAGTAGACATACTTTATCTGTAACACTTCCCCCAGTAGACATACTTTATCTGTAATACTACCCCAGTAGACATACTTTATCTGTAACACTCCCCAGTAGACATACTTTATCTGTAACACTTCCCCCAGTAGACATACTTTATCTGTAATACTACACAGTAGACATACTTTATCTGTAACACTTCCCCCAGTAGACATACTTTATCTGTAATACTACACAGTAGACATACTTTATCTGTAACACCTCCCCCATTAGACATACTTTATCTGTAACACTTCCTCCAGTAGACATACTTTATCTGTAACACTTCCCCCAGTAGCAATACTTTATCTGTAACACTACCCCAGTAGACATACTTTATCTGTAACACTTCCCCCAGTAGACATACTTTATCTGTAATACTACACAGTAAACATACTTTATCTGTAACACCTCCCCCATTAGACATACTTTATCTGTAACACTTCCTCCAGTAGACATACTTTATCTGTAACACCTCCCCCATTAGACATACTTTATCTGTAACACTTCCTCCAGTAGACATACTTTATCTGTAACACTTCCCCCAGTAGCAATACTTTATCTGTAACACTACCCCAGTAGACATACTTTATCTGTAACACTTCCCCCAGTAGACATACTTTATCTGTAATACTACACAGTAGACATACTTTATCTGTAACACTTCCCCAAGTAGACATACTTTATCTGTAACACTCCCCAGTAAACATACTTTATCTGTAACACTTCCCCCAGTAGACGTACTTTATCTGTAACACTCCCCAGTAAACATACTTTATCTGTAACACTACCCCAGTAGACATACTTTATCTGTTATACTTCCCCCAGTAGACATACTTTATTTGTAACACTCCCAAATAAACATACTTTATCTGTAACACTTCCCCCAGTAGACATACTTTATCTGTAACACTTCCCCCAGTAGACATACCTTATCTGTAACACCTCCCCCATTAGACATACTTTATCTGTAACACTTCCCCCAGTAGCAATACTTTATCTGTAACACTACCCCAGTAGACATACTTTATCTGTAACACTTCCCCCAGTAGACATACTTTATCTGTAACACTCCCCAGTAAACATACTTTATCTGTAACACTTCCCCCAGTAGACATACTTTATCTGTAACACCTCCCCCAGTAGACATACTTTATCTGTAACACTACACAGTAGATATACTTTATCTGTAACAATCTATAAAAATTTTAACTTTTTGCACCAAAATATCACTACATCCAGCTTTTTATAATCATTGTTTCTTGATCCCTAATGCAGGAATAAAGTATTGGTATGTTTCATAACCTATATACTAAATATAATATTCTAGCTGCAATTAGCAGACATTAAAACAGTACACTGATTTATGAGAGAGATATTAACTACACAATAACAAACACTCAAATATATTATAATTAAAGCAGCAATAGTCTTTATTTAGAAGGCATTAACTCTTTATATGGCTAATTAAGATGTACATATTAACATAGTCCAAAATTCACGTTCATCTTCATAATCTCTGCTATGCTCTCTAATGAAGTTAATTCAAATGAAAAATTCAATTATAAAACCCAAGAATACATGATTCACATACCAAACTGTAGTTTTTCTTTTATTTTTACATGGGATAGAGTTATTTGAAAACATTATACTTTCTAAACTACCCTGGAGCTCTTGATAAGGCTTGTTCTAGGAAATGCTTAAAATGGAGCCAAAAAATGTTTAGCCTAGAGAATCATAGCAAATAAGGTTCTCCCCATTCTTTTATGAAATCTTGTGCATTACTGGGTGTACAATGATGTCAACAGACCACTGTTTTGCTCTAGCCACCCCCCTTTCAAGATGTAGTAAATTACTGGTTTGAAATGATTCCATAAGTCCACAGTGTTTTTTTCTCTAAACACCCCCCCCCCTTTTTTTTCTGAGATGCAGTGATTCATGAATGCTAAATGACATCATAGGATTATGTTATTGTTCTATGCCTTCCCCCAACCTTTAAGATGTTGTGGATTAAAGAAAAGTGAAATTATAGACTACTGTTTTGCCCAATTCCTGATGATGTAATAGGGTATACACAAAGCTGCAAGTCTTCCCCCCCCCCCCCCCCATTATCTTTTAAATTCAAAAATACATAATTCGTATTTCTTTGCTCAAATAGATAAACTTTGCGCCCAAGCTTTAATCCAATAACAGCCTGCTATGATACTACCCTGAATGTTCTATCCAGTGACAACATATGGTATAACATCTGTGTCAAGGCAAGGTGACATGAAGGATAAAACATTAATTTTTTTTTTTACTTGGTGCTTTTAATGAATTATTTGTAAAGTTACTCTATAGTGACCCCACTTTAAAGTTTCCTGAGAAATCAACCGATGAGTGTCAAGCACTAACACGTGTACCCATGCATAATTTATCAAACAATTTCCTACATATCATGAACTAGTCCTTTTAGAACTTTTATCTATACCAGATGCCTTCAAATTTTAATGATTTTTCTTCCCAATTGTAAAAAAAAATGCTTTCAATGGAAAACATTAACTTTCTTTATTGGAATTACAGTATATCTTATCTCAAACAAACATACATGGAATCCTGGTTTAATTGACATGTATTTGGAGCACATTATAGTAGTATTCAGGTTTGGTAATGAAATCCATGTTTATTGTATAAAATTTCGTATTTTATCACATCCAGATTAGATGAGTTAGATTAAATATATCATCAAAACATGTTACATGCATACAGTTAATAACACATAATCATTAGAGCTGTGTATCTTGAGAGAAAAAAGTATCACACTGCATCATGATATTGCAGAAAAATATCACAAATATATCACGGTATTTCAAGTTTATACATTTGTTGGTTTTTCCATTATATTTTAATTCATTTAAGGAAGAAAAAAGGTGCATGGCGTCATCATTTAATTCTTTTCAAAAACTCTGATTCTAATAGTCTCTTGTACTTTCCAAAACCAAGATTAAAGCAAAAAAATTAACATTTACTTTTTCATTGCCTTGGGTCAAGGTCAGGACACACCCTCAGGTCATGAACAATCTTTGTGTGAAGTAGTAGATTCTAATGTTCCTCCGTAAGAAAGATATGGACCGGACATGTTTGCACAGACAGACGGACAAGGTGATTCCTATATACCCCCCTAAACTTCGTTTGCAGGGGGTATAATCAGATACCAAACATTGAAAAAAAAAGTTATCAAAAATCCATTCATCTTGTTCTTTCACAGTATTTACCAGCATCTAGTATACAAATGCTACAAGCTAGGCCAGTGATATGGAAAAAAAAGACATGACACACAACAATTACATATAGCAATAGATTAATAGCACTTACCCTCCACTTGGAAAACTTCAGTGGAATTATCGAAGGACATTTTCATCTTGCTCCTCCGGCCTTAGGGAGCCCTTGGTGTGTGATCGTCCTCCCCTAATTCAATAATCTGTGGGCTCGTTTGACTTTTTATCACATTTTGGTAATCCACAAGGAAAACATAAATACACTCCATGAAAATTATGACATTGTTGAAGGGATTAACTAATCCAATGGTTGATGGACACGCAACTGCATGTAATTGCTACTGGCCTTTATATACACATTACATACCTGAAATGACAAAAAAAAAAAACACTCTGCTAATTAACCTTGTACACATGGGATTGTCAACAATCTGTTTACTTTCATTGCTTTTTTTTTGCATCAGCTGCTTAAATCTCTATTTAATAACAATGCAACCACTTATTAGCACTCACTGGTATTTGAAATACCTTCATAAAAGTACTTTTTTATTTTGTTTCCTTGCTGCTAATTTGTTATAAACATGAAGTTAAGGTCAAATAAAGCCTTAACACTCCTACACCATTTCTAAATGCCATCATTTACATTAAAGTTTATAAAAGTATATCAATACAGTATCAGGACATACTGAGAACAAATCATTGGTTATTATTGTTATCCAATGACCTTCCCTTTACTTCTCTCCGTTGTGAAGATCAATATCAAAACGTGATTTTTCCCATTTATTTGAGGAAAATATCAACAAATTAACCTTTCTACCACCTGTGAGATTTCAGGTATTCTGAATTCTCATTCTCTGTTTGTTTTACTCTTCTCTATATCAGCTGTTTTAATTATTCATGGACTAACATGAGAACTCTTATGTGTTAATAACGAGCTTTGACAAAATAATGAAAGAAATCAGAGATAACATAATGCTTAATTAATTATTGACATTTAAGGAAGACATTTGAGTGACTTGAGCAGATAAAAAAAAAAAGAATAAGAAGACATTTTAAAAGACTTTTGGCTAAATTGATTCCTTTTATAATGAAAGATCGAACCTGTAGAAAATAGTATTGTTTTGGAAAAGATTTACCTTTTGTTCAGTTCACTGCAACTGACAAAGGCCAACTTGTTTTTTTTTTTCCTTTTTGTTTTATTATTTGGTGAAAAATGATTATAACACAAGAAAAATAATCTCTAACTGAAGTTAATTCAGCTGTTGATATGCAGTGCATGCTACGTAAGCTACATTACACAACCATATCTGGAAGTCATGCAGATTCCAAGTCAGAAAAGAATTTGCATGCAACAATAACCGCCCCCTAACATTCTCATTCCAAGTGCACCTTTGATCTCCTTGCAAAAGATATTTTTCTTTAAAAATTTCTTTGCATCTCCAAGGAGAAGCAATAAGAAAAGATCAATTTAGCCGTTCTGAGATAATCAGAATAGGGATCGTAAATGAAAGTAACCTTTGACCTACAACTAAAAAGGCAAATGCTGAATCCACATTTATGCTGCAACCAAAAAAAAATTACAGGATTTAAAGTGCTAGCTCTCACAGGGTTAAAAAAAAAAAAGGCATCCATATACATACATAACCTTAAATGGATTACTCTGAAGGGCATCTATTCTAAAAAACAAAGAGTAAGTTCCCAAAATTTCAATATTCCACCCATTTTACACAATTAAGAGAAAGATGGTCAATCAATAGAAGAAGTTCATTGTATCATAAAAATGTCAAGTATTGATCGCCTTGTTTAATGATAGCTGCAGAAACAATCAACTGCAGAAATAGCCCCAATACTGCTTCATCAGAAGGTTGGCAGACACTGGTTTGGTTCAATATGCCGTACTAAAGACAGCACCTGAGAAAAAAGTCTATTCTAGCAGCAAATCAACCTGTCTTATACAGAGAATCTATTTAACATAGAAAACTGAGGACATCTTCCTTTTTTGTTGAATACTAGCAGAGCCTTCGTATACAGTGTATTTGAGTACTACACAGAAAATTTTGGATGCACTAGCTAGATTTTAAATCAAGAAAATTAATTTACCCCAAAAATTTGTTTAAAAAATATGTTGAATTTCTGCTATTAAAATTACTATTATCGGTAATGCACTCTAATTTTATTAAATAAGAACTGCAAATTATGTGTTTTAGCATTGCAAATATATGGATTATGAAAACTTAGAGAAAGCACTGATGAGGATTTATCATAGATTCAAATGAACAATATTTCAGTACAGGTGTCTTCATATAATGTGGAGTTGACTGTGTTATATTTACTAAATTAAAGATCCCATACCTTGAAGGATACCTTTGTATCTTCAAACTTATCAGGCCTGTAGTATGCTTACAAATACTGAAAAAAAATCAACGAAATATAATATGGCCTTTAGCCCACAACGAAGTGAAAACACCCTAGATGACTTTCATGATATTAAAATTGTTTACTACCTATATCACCGTAAGTCAGGCAACAGACAGCTGCAGAATATCTCAGACATATTGATGCAGGTGTTTGTTGTACCTGTTTAGTTTGACTGATACATGTCCTTACTTAAATTATATGAAGAGATTCCTCCAAAGCAACCAAAGAACCCAAGACCTCCAAAGACGAGAAATGTAGTCCGGTCAGAACACTATCCACAAAGCTGTTTACACAGCAAACACAAACACATACCTGGGTGAATCCCTAACCCAGGAAATTATTTTTTTGTTGATAACTGTCAATAATCCAATAGATAGTCTTCAGTGACTGTTAGCCAGCACAGTAACTGTTTGGTGTGTTGTCCTGTACTGTCGTCGTCCAATCAATCAAGCAAGTCACACATTGTTGACAGGTGCCCTGCCTGCAGGGCTAAAGTCCTTATCTCTCCACTGTCACAGCCGGCATGTACCAAGGATACTAAAACAAGCTTCCCTAATTCACATCATACATATCCACTGAAAAATATTTTCACTGTTTGCTCTATTGTACTATTCTGTAGAAGGAAATACCGATTTAACGCAGTTGATTTGTTCAGTGATGGATAATATAGCATACCAGATTACACCAAGTACAGAACTGTACCATCTTCTGTGTGTGCACGATAACATTCACTTCATGGTACTGATATAATTTAATATTGTACATTAAAAAAATATATCAGATAAATATTCATCCCGTGATATGTTACATATTTTATGGCCTGTATATGCAGTGACAGCTGAGATTATGAGTTAAACATGTAACATACGATTTTGATACCTAGGGCTACAGAACTATCATATAGTGTATTTAGCACATTGTCTCCCTGCAGTGTGTACACAGACAGTAATTGTTGTCTTATTTCCTAGATCATCAGTCCTCTTTACCTCAAACAGGAAGTTAAGGGAAAAAAATAACAATAGGTCTCCTACTGCACACACAGTCTCCCTCTCGATGATGACTTCCACTTATCAAATCTCACGAGATTAATTTTACACTAAATAGATGTTAGGCGGATATTTTTTTTTACTCTGTAAGGCTTTTTTCTTTAAAATTTTTCCTGTTTTAATTTCCTTTTAAATTTACCTCTGTGAATCAGACCTGCATATGACAAGTCTTTTTATCTCTTTAAAATTAGTTTAGCTTTCTCTACTTTCTAAATCAGAAATATTTCCTTTTTTTTCAAACTTCCTGGTAAAATAAATGATCTTTTATATTAGGTACCTAAATTTTTCTACCTTTTCAGTTTCAGTGAACAAAGGACAATATATTTTCACAAAGGGCCTAATATATTCCTGATAATCCTTCAAAAATAAAACTGATAGAAATAAAAGTTCAATGATATGCATTGAAGTGGTAAATTTTTTCGCTTGGATGGAACATATGGGTCTTTCTTATGGAATGTCAGCTAACATCATAACATGCCCATTTATTTTAGAAACGAGTGAGCAATATTCATCGCAAAGCTTAATCAAGAGGCCCATGGGCCACAATGCTCACCTGAGTAACTGTGGCCCTTCTTGTTCATCAGCAGATTATTTTTCCTATATATTCCTACGTAAAATTTGATCACTAGGTCATTGTAGGTTCTCTGATTCTGAACATTGATATTAAGTTAGTGTTTCATTTTTTCCACAAATTCTGATATTTAGATCAGGACCTTGGACTGGCCATTCAAGTGTTGGAATCCCCTCTCTGGTCACAAAATCTTTATCTATTCTTGTTCTATATACTTGAGCATTGTTGTCTTGAAATATATACAGATTGTCTGGAAAATGCCTTGCTACAATAGGCCATAAATTGTTATCAATGATTTCAATGTATTTTTCAACATTTATATTCCCATCAACAACACATGAAGTACCTATATTGTAAGTTGTTATACATTCCCGCACCATCAAATCAAGGCAGTGTCCAGGAGGGGGTGCAACATAAGGGGGTCCCACCCTTCCCCATCCTTCCAAAACACAAACACACGTTGTTCCCCATCAATCATCACCTTTCATTCATCATTAAATATTACATTTCTTAAACTCATCGACAGTTACGTGTCTGTATTGCTTACACCGTTTTACTTTGCTGACTTCATGAATCTAAAGTTTTTTCTTTAAAAGCCTCCTCCTACACCCCCTCAAAATTCTTTTCATAGTACTTTCCTGCGTGCTTCTAGGTCCATTTTCATTGGTAACATTTGTAATTTCTTCAGAGTCCTTGACAATTATTTTAACAATTAAAGCCAGATAAGTTGCCTCTCTCCTTTGACACTACATTTACTTGGTCTGCCACTTTGACTCTTGTTTTCTATGCTTCTATGCCCTTGTTGACGTTTCAAAAAACTGCATATAGAAGATATGGGCCTTTAAGTCATCTCTAATATCTTCTTTAACTTTACATTAGCTTAAGACAATGATAGAATGCTTTCTTTTTCGGACTTACAAAGATCAGATCTTTCCTAATCTGTTTTGATAGCAGAACCAAAACATTTACAGGCAACAAACATATATCATAACAAAGTCATGTGACCTGTCATGTGCTTGTATATCTTCATACAAAGAATCTGGGATAACTCTAATTTATGCATTATGAACAACACTGAAATATGAATCGAGCAATGGCAGTGCAAATGAAGCCACCATTTTTTATGAATACTTCTGACCTGAGATTGTATATGTATTTGTTGAAATATAATAGTAAAAAGCTAGCAGCTCATCATAATTATGAAAAACAATTTCCTTGCTACATGTCCTTGAGTATTTTAAAGATGTACAGTTGAACTTTTATCTCCAACACGGATATCTCGAATACCATGGATATGTCAAAGTCACTAGGAAGTCCTAACTACACTTTTAA